AACATCGAATATAAGAATACACGGTAATAGTTACGAAATATAATACTCGTGAAGAATACTTCATAAACTGAACAAAAAAATTATTAATGTATATATTAAACAAACATATATTATAATAACATAATAAGACGACATTAAATTTATTTACAAAATCCATTAGTCTGACTATCGGAGCGTTTTGGGAGTAATTAATACGACGGATTAGCACAACGTATTTGATTGTCTATTACTGAGACTAAACATTGAAATTAAGCCGATGAACAGTGTAAAAAACCATTAAGTCATTTAAAAGCAAAACAAATATGAGATTGACCTAACTAGTTCCTAAACTAGTTATTGAAAGTAAAAATGAATACGATAACTGGTGTTGCCTTTGAACACCACACTTAAAAACGAAAAACCTTAAAAAACTATTCTATACTGAAATACTATATTATACATGAATACTGTGATACATTAAATATCGAATATTTGTAAAATAAACTAGCAAAGTGACGTAGTAGGTACAATTACCAGTTCCATGACAAAAAAATAGGGTTGTCACATAAGTACGCCATACAGTTATTACACAATTAATTACACGCATTGTCCACACACTGGCGCCCGCCGTAGCCACCGCGGCCATCGTATGGGAGCCGCCAGGGTAGGGTCCACGTATTGAATACGACGCAAGACTCGTAAATCTTTTTCATCGAATCCTCACTTCTCTGAATTTGTCCAGCAGAAGCATTTTTTTTTTGCTCATCCAAAATCCTCACTACCTACACTTTTCCAAACCTATAGTTGCAGGATACCATAGGCGGGCTGCTGTATTTGGTTAATCAACATTTCCTTAAACCTGCTAGTTGTACTTATTGCCACCTTATTTTCTATTATTAATACATTAAAACGTATTTATTATTTTTTCTCCTATAACCAACTGTAACCATCCTTATACGTGCTCCTTACATTTTGAGCAGCAAACTTCCTGCGAACTTCAAGCAGTATACCGAGGTAAGTGATTATTTTTATATTCTCGTAGAAGAACATTAAGTAAGAAAAATGGACGACACACGATTCTGCACATTTTCGTAATACAAAATACATTTTTTTTTTATCTGACCAGAATGTAACACGATTCCGAATACAAATTGCTGTGACGCTGCCAGTTATAGTAAAAAATAAATACAGGTAATTATAATTTTAATTTTTATCAAATTTTATTGTAATAAAAATAAACGAATTAGTTAATATACCTGATGAAACAAATATTTAATTAAAAATAAAGTATATAATAATAAATGTATAATAACATGTCAAAAAGTAAAAATTAAGTAATGATTATTTTTTGTTAAACGCTAAAAAAGATAAAATAAATATAATACAAACAATTGTTTTCCTTGATATCTAGGACTTCTGAATGATATCAATTTTTTAAAATTTGTATTTATTGTATTATTTATTGTGAATTCCATACCTTCTTTTTCTTTAGCGTTCAAAATTTTCTCATCATTATATAATGTAATCGATCTGATATTAGTTTCAGTTTCCGACAGAAATTCCATCAATACTTTTAGGATTAAATAAGTATGTGGGTGAGGGTAGTAAAATTGGGCATTATATGTACGATGAAAACTTTCAGAAATATTAGTTGTCCTATAAGGTATAATTAATAATAATTATTACTCACAAAAATATTAGTGTTGATTCGACTAATGTTACCTTGAATTTATTGATAACTTTTCTGCCCACAATTCTGGTGAAAATAAGTATTTGTCTTCAATGTGATTTTTCAAAATATAATCGGTGAACAAATATCATACATCGTTGAGGCAAACACTTAAAAGTTCAGTGAATGCTTCATTTACTGCAAGGTAAGACAAAGCGAAAATTATGCGTATTTTTTATATTTAATATTTGGTCGCTACAAAGTTGTCGAAAATAATTGTCATTAAAAGAATTTTTACTTTTAAAAAAATATAACTAATATAACTATGTATTGTGTATAGTTGTAAAAAATGCTTCGATGAAAATCAAATGTTCCGTCACAAAATTAAACCAAGAAATTAATGTTTTGAACCGTTGTAAGGCAAATAAAATTAGGCATCTGCCGGAGCATAAATAAATAGTTGATTTTTAAACATGAAACATTTATCAATTTTTAAATTCCTTATTTGTTGTAAAGCATCATGTTAAGGATATTGGAAGTACAGGATAATATTTTCTTCGTTTATCGAACATTGTTTTAATCACAGATCTAATATCATGGAGTCTTATTTCCGATGATTCTTGTGTTTAGAGTTACTCTGTCCGGATAATTTGTATAGGTTGTGTAGAAATTGATTCTTCTTAAAATTTTCTCTTAGTACTTGTTTTTCGATTTTATTAGAAGTGTCGGCCGGATGATTATGCACACCTTTTGAGTCTTGCACATTTTCTTTTATAAATTTGAAAAAATAAACGCGGTGCGATTTTTGTCAGAAGAGCAGCGCCATTTTAAAAGTTGATTGTATTTACGAACATCGATAAATCTATTATTATATACATTTAGAACAGCTAATTCTTTATTTTTCACAAAAATGCGATTGCAATATACGTATTACGATTAGTGATCAAACAGGCAACTGACGAGTCTAGATAAAATGTATACTATAGATTGTAGACTATTCAGATAAGCTTAAATTTGAAAAGGCAAAACCTTTTGATGTATAAAATTATAAACTCATCTTATCACTATAAACACAAAATTCAGCTCAAGAGAAAATCCTAACTTCCAAATCTATCGGCTAAACATTTCTAAATATGAATGATTAGATATACCATGTATACTAATCTACCAATAAGCTGTTATGTGTTTTTCCGTCAAATAAATAACAATAAAATAAAAAATCTGTTTAACGTAACCGAAACGTCACAACACTCACAACGCCAACGTCGCATAGAAAACTGCTGGGAAAATCGACAAATTACAGGCATTTTATACCAGTTTTCCCAGATATTATAAAAACCGTTTGAAAAAACAAAAAAACGATTTGTTTAAATTACCATGAAGATAAAATTTCATTTCAAAAAAAAAAGTTACACTTGATACACGGCAACAAGTTTCTGGTAGACAAGTTTGCACAATAAATCGAGGGGTATTTTTCGATTGAAATCGTCCGAGCGAGCGATACCTAGGTCTCAGGTACACTTTAAATGCATTTGTTACAATACAGAGTTATTCAACATAAACATGTAATATCTGTTTAATATCTGAACTTCAAAAAGCTATAATTTCGAAACTTAGTCCGCTTAATTCTGACTTTATCATCCTTCTTGAATCGGCAATACACATATGTTCGAAAAAAAAAATTGAAAAATTAGATTTTAACTTTAAAAAGCTTAGAAAAAAACGACTGCATTACACTCGATTTGTTGACACTTACGAAAATACCAACGTATAATGAACCAAGGTCAAGTCTGTAACTACCTAAATAAGCTAAAATAAATATTCTATACAAATTATCGGTCTCTACGATTATTTTCAACTAAACTACAAAAAAGAAATAGAGAAACAATTTCCTCTTTGATCTCTTTAATACACCAATTATACAAAACTTTCAAAAAAAATGCTACACTTCGACATCAGACCAAGATTTCCAGGAGATGGAGGAGAGGGCGGTGGGTGCCTCTGTTTTTTTTTTTTTTGTTTATTGGTTTTTTTTTATGTGTTTTATCGTTCAAAGATATATAGTAATTTATATAAACTTGATAAGTGCAACCCCCCTGGAAAAAAAAAAATTGGACGCGGTAATGTATAATATAATGTAATGATCAAATACAATTGTGAAAAAAAATTAATTTAACTCACAAATAAAATTCGCAACAAAACTAAACTCACAAACATATTCTGGATGGGGTCACAATCACTAACCCTCCCCCCCCTCCTATTTGCATCACTGTATTTTATCAATGTTATTAAAAATATTATTTTCGAAAAATAGTATAATGATTTATTTTATGCGGTTATAAATAATAATATATTCTAAGGTTACAGAAGCTAATTATTATAACTATAACGAAACTACATGGTTTTATTATTAATATTATTTTCCAAATGAATTTAAAATAATACAATAATATAACATTTCTATTATACTGTGTTAATAATATCATGAGTAAATTATAATTAAAATGTTATAAAATAACATTATTTTTGTTATGAATTAATAACAGTGATATAGTGATTTTCGTTTTCCATTACTGCAATGATATTACAAACATAATGCATTTAAAATAATATTCTATTATTTTATTGATAATATTTCAAATGTATTGAATTCGTGACATGTTTTAGTATTATTATCATTACTAATTTGCTATCTGGGCCGTTAACAATATAATGTATATGGCATATTACGGTGAAATAATTGAAGAGACAGTTTATATTCTCTTTAATGATATTTATTGTAAAATGTACCAATTTTCCCGTTTTTCCTACGTTTTTCCCGGTTGTCCCGCGTTTTTTTTTCTGGTTTTTCAAATTTTCAGGGAAAACTCTTGAGAAATATGAAATTGTACTTTTCACATTTATATTGTTTTATGTAAATACGATTGTTTCGGCGTTTACAAATTGCGTGAATATTTGACACAAGGTTCATCATCATAAGTTGAGTTCATTAAAATAAATGAACGGACGTGGACATGTAGGCATATTCGATATATAAATTAACAGTGCACATTAGTACAGTTAGTCTGTTACACATTGTTATAAGTGTAAGTAAATGCAGTCGATTGTCAAAACTAAATAATTAATTCAAAACCAGATACTTATAGATTAAGCTACTTTACACTAATTTCCCTGAAATGGGTTGAAAGTTGTTTTTAAAATTTTCTCCAGTTATATAAAATTTGAAAATTATTTTAACTTTTTAATGACCACGTAAATTATATGACCTATTTGATGATTAAGGATAAAGCTTGTTTTCCAAAAATATTTTAATATCTATTATTTTTCAGTTAGCCATCTGATAAATTGAACGATGTTTGACCGAAAAGACGAAATCGTAATATCGGGCATTGCAGGAATGTTTCCGGAATGCGACAACGCGGAAGAGTTGAGCGAATTGTTGTTTAACAAAACCAATGGGATTACCATCGATTCGAGAAGATGGACACCGTGTATAAAAAAAAAAAAAAAAAAATTTCTATTTCATAATAAAATTTTAATATGTAATCGCTTAGTTCAATTGTTCTTTTTTATAGCATTGATGGGCGCGATATGCGGTACCGGAAAGATGAAAAATATAAACGCATTCGACGCCACGTTCTTCGGCGTTAATAACATACTCGCCGACGTGATGGATCCAATGACCAGGATACTGACCGAGAGGGCGGTGGAAGCGGTCGTGGATGCGGGTTTGAGCCTGTCAGACGTATCCGGAACTAATGTCGGAGTGTTCATGGGATCGGCGATCGGCGAAACAGAAATATACATGTTAAACACCACGTCCAAGAAAAGCGACCCGTACACGTTGTTGGGACAGAGTAGAACGATGCAAGCGAATCGAATATCGAGCATGCTTAATTTAACAGGTACCGCCGGCAATAGTTTGTTTACCGTTTAACGTGTACAAACATATTTTTGATTCGTGTAAAATTTAAATATCAAACTACCCCCACCCCCCCCGATTTAAATGAAGGTCCGAGCTTCGCGATGGACGGAGGATGGCTTTGCGGTGCGAATGGTTTACACAAAGCGAAACAAATGATCGATGACGGTCACATATCCGCGGCGATCATCGGAACCATAAATTTAGTTATGAGTCCCGAATTGCAATTTCAATCGCAAGGACTGAACAGATTGAACAAGAGTAATCAAACTAAACCGTTCAGTTCTAACGGTGAGTACGTGCGATGGCAACACGGTTTTTCATTAGCCAAAAATTACATTTACATTTTATCGGCACTTGTCCGTTATACAATTTAAATAATAATAATAATCAACAACATATAAATAAATAAATCGTTCAGTTTTCTCTAGAAAATAAAATAATACAATAAAAATTTAATTTTCAAACGGCTATTTCCTTTTTATACTTATAGATTCAAACAAACGTTCTGTCGTTATTCCATCGTACAATATTATTGATATCCGTCGCTAAATAACGAAAACGACTAAACTCTACACACGAAACGCGCATTGCGTATGATTTGTGTATTAAAAAGTGTCCTTCGATAGGAGCCCGCCATATTGATTCCGACGGTGATTTACTCTATGAAAAACACGGAGAATAAACGAAATAATTTGCGATTATATTAGATAATAACAATGACATTATGTGGAAATCAGAAATAGCCGATAGGATGTTAGTAAATAGGTATTGATAAAAAAAAAAAAAAATCTCAAATAAACAGTAGAATTATCATTTTAAAGTTTAAACATTTTGAAATATAGCTAACCGTGTCAAGATTTTTCGACTATTATTTCCTATTAAATTCTAATTAATTTTTTTTTATTTCATGGAAATTTCTTATCCTGATCAAACATAGGGATATAGTTTTTATCAGTATTGTAATATGATTTTCTTCGGAGTCCAAAATGTGAAAATCAAGGTCCATGAACAAGTGTTTGTCGACAAGGCGACTGAAAACTGCTATGGGCTACACTTTTAGAAAAATCTTAGTGACCATATTTTAAAATATAATGTATATAATAATATTATTTATATAATAGAAAAATAAGTAGAGAAGTATAAAAAAAAAAAAAAAAAAAAAAATACTAGTACATATATTAATCAGTTTTATTTTAAAATTAGTGAGCTGAAATTGAATCGTTTTCATAATCGGAAGAAGGACCGTGAAATTAGCGGGAACTTGTAAAACACTAATTCCCACTGTACCACAACATTTTAGCGCCCAATTAATGCTTTCAGAATGTACAAAAAAAAAAAAAATAGTGCTTTATCCTACCATCGATTATCCACTATTATAAAAATCTTCTGCTAATTTTACGCTGCGGGAGCATTGATAGCACTAATTCCCACTATACCACCGCATTTTAGCGCTCAATCAATGCTTTCAGAATATACAAAAATACAAATTTGTGTTCGCTTTAGACCCGGAGTTATTGCTATCGTTAATTTTTAACTTAAGTCTTAGTTTTATAATTCTACAGTCATTTGTCACGCTGACAATATTAATGTTATCATATAGATAATATTTTAGTCTTAATGGTTTTTTATTATCATTTAATTATTTATCTCCATAAATACACACACTGGACACACTTAGGACACTGTTCAATATTTTAAATTATGTATAAATGATCGAGTTTTGGTTGACAATCGGGTTATCGTACCCACGTCCCACTATGTAAAAATGCTATTTCCTTCATGTAAGTCTATTTGCATAATACCTTGTACAATATCTATACTTATACTATGCATCACCAACTTATTAGAATTATACTTCGTAGTATAATAATAGTACGTAGTACGTAAACTCAGACATATTGGACGATATTTTACAAAGTAGACGTACAAATGGACAATACTATGCAACTTAATAGTATGACACGAGAACATGTATTATCCCAAATCCCTAAAGACGTATGCACAATAATTGAAAACTGGCCATCGTTATTACACCAGTTGCCATCTAAAAAAAAAAGAAGTAAATATTTGAATCCAAACTCTGAGTGGTTGACAATTGTTGACCGCTCCGAATACGCGTTTTTATAAATCGAAAAAGTATAAATTAAAATATTACTCTAGTATGGTAAAAAAAAATTCCGTATTTAAAACCAATATACGTATAGTGTCGATGATAAATATCATTTAATAGCGGCTTCGGAAAATGTTCTCGAAATTCGGTATCTGAATTGCGTACAATTTGCCCGGTCACACCGTAAACAATAACAATAATACTATTACGCGGTTGTTGTTGTTTTTTTTTTTTTTTTTCTCGTACTTAGCCGACGGGTACAACAGATCGGAGGGATGTGTCGTGCTGTTCCTCCCTCCAAAGAGCGTCCGACGCTAAACGCTCTTACGGCACGCTGTTGAACGTAAAATCGACGGTGTTCGGCGATCGCCAGGGTCCATTGATTAACCGCGATCGGAGACGATTTCAAATCGCTGCTGTCGGACGGCTACAGAGAGGCCGGCGTCGATCCGGCCACGGTAGAGTACGTCGAAGCTTACGGGTCGGGCATTAAGGTGATTCGAACGCAATAAATCGATCCAAATGGCCGTACGCCGGGCGGCGTATTTTGATGACATTTAACGGAAATCCTTAAACGGTGCGAAGACGACATGGAACTGAACGTTGTGGACGAGGTGTTTTGCGCCGGGCGCCGAAAGACGCCGCTAAACATCGGCTCGGTAAAGAGCAACATTGGCCACTGCGAGGCGTCGCCGTTTTTCGCGTCAATCGTGAAAGTCATAATCGCATTGGAAACCGGTCACACACCGCCGACCATACACTTCGGCGGGCCGGACGTCGATAATCCGGCGTTGGAAAGTGGAAAGATTCGGGTACGTCTGTCCCGCAGTGTTTTCACGATCACTGTAATTAGGGTTCAGATTATATTACGAGTGTTTCCACCATACGTAATCTTTTGTTAAGACTGCGCAGCAATACTACGCCGAAAACGGTATACTCTTATCAAAAAACTAAAGCAGTTTTTTTTCGATATCAACGGATCGAAACACGATTCATATTGACGTAGTACCAGTGACGGATTCACGCGGAGGGCACAGGGGCACTTGAACCCCTCCCCGTTCTCTTTCGGTGGACTTCATTTTATACATTTTATATCAGTTTAATAATCTATAATTACAATTATAAAAATGTATAGTTAATTTACTAGAAATATGAATAATGCGCCTCCGCTATAAAACATTTCTGGATTCACCGTTGCGGTATAGTCAAATTCGTTCCGATTTTGTAAAACAAAAAAAAATAACTTCTGAACATCGTATATTGTAACGTGGGCAATTATTATTCATGTGACAGAACTTTTTGAATAATAACTCCGTATTATATATATTCGGGAAATATTTAGTTAGACGAAATAAAAGTAATTCAATATTTATGCACTTCACATAACGGATATCGGGTAGACGAGTACTTTATCAGCTACCTATTGAAACGGTTTAGCACCAACAGATTATTCTCCTACACATGACAATACAATAATAATTTAACAAACTACCGAAATTCAATATTTTTGAGAACCGAAACCCTTAAAATCGTTACAGTTTTAGTCTCTGATTACTTGTGGTCACAACATTTGTTTTTCGACACGAATCCGTAGTTCTATTTACATATTTGCATACAACTGGGAAATCGCATTTAAATTTGAATAACCTGAATTTGAAAATTTGTTTTCCAAAAACCGAACAATCACCTACGTGTTATAAATACCTGTTTATAATTATTTTAAATGTATCACACAGGTTGTGACAGAAAAGACCCCTTTGGTCAGTGATATAATTGGAGTCAGTGGTTTTGGGTGTACAAATGCATTTTGTCATGTATTATCAGAAGAAACGATAAATTTAAAATTGATCCTAAGATAGCGACGATACTGTTAACGATCGTGTACCACAAATTGTTTTAGCATCGGGACGCAATGAAAAAACTACCATCGATACCATAAATAAAGTACAAGTTATATAATTTAATTGAATAGGTAATGAAAAGATGTACGAATTTCAATATTTTAATTCTATCATAAAACTGAAACCTTATGTTCCACAAATATATTTATGTATTATTTTCTGTAGATCATTATTAACGGAAACGACCGAGAATTTATAACGTTGACCAATAATGTTTTCGGTAAAAATATCAATACACATTTTTATAGAAGTTTTACAATTTTTTCCGAAGAAGGTGCATCCCAAATTGAAGTTCAGGTAACTTTAATGTTATTAATATTATTACAATATTTTACCTATATATGTCAATAATAATTTTTCTGCGATTATTATTTGATCGAAAAAAATAAAGGCTAAGCTAAGATTATTTTTTTTTAAATTCTGAGTGGAGCGAAGAAGCTTATGGTTTTACATTAGTAAAATATTACGATTTTTTTTTTTCTGTAGACAACTTTTCTATCAGTAATTTTGCTCCGATTTACAATGGTAGCATTTTTTCGAAAAGGTAATCTGACTGGGGAAGTACTTTAAAAAGGTCATTTTTTGATTTACCGAAGAGTTTTCTTAACAAATATGAAAAACCGGGAAAAAACATCGAACTGGGAAAATCGGTACAACATTAAACAAATATTATTAAAGAAAATATATGAAACCTATTTCATTATTTTACTATAATATGGCATTTATATTGTTGAAAAAGCATCACTATCAACTGAACTCTGCTCAGAATGGTTTTTTTGTAAGCAATGATTTATCTTTGCTTACAGGTATACATTAAATTATCTATAACAGTGGCTGCACCCGTTCCTATTATCCCAAAACGTCTTTTTGTACATAGTAATATTATATTATAGAAATTATTGGAATTATAAATATAAAACACGTGAATATAAGTTAAGTGACCATTAACAAATGCACGAAATTAAACCCTAACCTAAACATTTCTAGAATTTAAATACACAGAAACGTCCGGTATGGTTTATGTTCTCCGGTATGGGATCGCAGTGGCCAGAAATGGGCACGGATCTTATGAAAATTCCGGTTTTCGCGAACGCGATAAACAAATGTGATCTAGTTTTACGGCCCAAAGGGCTTCGTATCAAGACGATTTTGACGAGTAAAGATCCAAAGATTTTCGATAACATCCTCTATTCGTTTGTCGGAATTTCGGCCGTTCAGGTTTACAAAAAAAATTTAAACATGCCATTTTTACACTTACTATATAAATGTCATCGAATTTTAGATCGGACTAATAGACCTGTTGAGATCTTTGGATATCACTGCCGACGGGATCATAGGGCACTCGTTGGGGGAATCGGCGTGTGCATACGCTGACGGTTGTTTTACCGCTGAAGAAACAATACTATCCGCTTGGGCCCGAGGACGAACTTCACTCGACGTGAAGCTTATTTCCGGCATGATGGCCGCTGTCGGTAATGTGGAAACGTTGAATCTTGACTTTGCTTACGTTTTCGTTCATTTGCGAAATGTATTGAAAAGTGCATTGTGTTTCTCGTTTTAGGTTTAGGTCACAGTGAAATAAAAGACCAACTGCCGGACGACATCGACATCGCATGCCATAATAGCTCCACCAATTGCACGTTATCCGGTCCAAAAGACAGTATCAATGAATTCATCTCGACATTGAAGGCCAAAGGAGTTTTCGCAAAAGCCGTTAACGCTTCTGGAATAGCGTTTCACAGTAGATACATTCAGTCTATAGGTCCGATTCTACTTGGATATTTAAAAGAAGTGTGTCTGCGAATCGAATGACTAATAATTATATTCGAATAGCAATTATTATTACTATCATTATTATTATTATTATTATTATTATTATTATTATTATTATTATTATTATTATTGTAATGTGTGTAGTATGTTAATTTACTAATTAACAATCAGTGTATGTCTATTTGTCCTATGATAGATAATCAAAACACCGAAATTGAGATCGTCGAAATGGATTAGCACTTCGTTGCCCGAAACCGAATGGAACTCCGAGATCAGCAAATATTCTTCCGCAGAATATCATACAAATACCTTATTGAATAGTGTGTTGTTCGAAGAGTCGCTTAAACACATACCCAGTGACGCGATTTTGATTGAAATCGCCCCACATGGTCTTCTCCAGGCAATCGTTAAACGTGCACTACCGAACACGGTAACCATTATACAGTTAACAAAGAGAATGACCAAAGATTTGAATCGATACTTCCTAAATTCGATCGGAAATTAAGTATTCAACCATATGTTTTATTCATACTACCAACGTCATATATTTATTTTTTATGCATGTAGCTTACTAATTTGAAAAAAAGAGTTGATACTGAGGAAGGGTGTGCCACTGTTGTAGGTGGAAAGTTGGGAAGTTAGGATACACAAATGCATTTAATTTATACCTGTAAGAAACGATAAACCTTTGAGGACGGAAAACGTTTCTGAGCGAAATTCGGTTAAACGTGTTTTGAAAGACCGTAATATTTATGATTTTCATCAAAATTGAATATTAAAACACTTATTATACTCATTTTTTATTTCACCACTAAGTACGGATTATAATGAACCTCCTATTATATTTTCATGCAGTTTTGTTTAGTCTAATTTTATCCACGGAGTACCTACTGAATAAAAATTACGAAAACAACTCGTAAAATTAAAATGTCTACAAATAGCTCGAAAATTTTCCCTAGTCTAGAAAATACAAATCTGAGTTTTCTATCAAAATTACAAGTTCGTAATAATATTTTTAACTGAATTCCAAAATAAAAATAAAATTTAAATAGTAAAAGCATTATTTTTGTAAATTTTCCCGGTCTTTCTACGTTTTCTTTCGATTTTGCTCAATTATTAAAAAAACTTCACGGAAAATCAAGATACAACTCTCTCGTTCACTAAGTAGGTTAAAAATTCAACAAAAACTGACACTTGTCGTTTTTTATTGGAGCCAAATTTCTGGTAGAAAATATAATTTGCAAAAACTAAAAACAATGAAATCGGTAATGCTGCGACGCGCTGTAAATATTTATCGATTTACCTATAATTTTCTTTCCGGTTTTCCCCAATTATTTTGAAAATCCTTTAAGAGATAAAAAAATTCCCCTCTAATGCACCAACTAGATAAAATTTCATTTCGAAAAACGTGATACAGTTGACAAATCGGAAAAAGTTTTATTTTCGAATAGTTGTTTACAGACAGATAAAAAACACATCATTGATGATGTATGACACACCAATTGATCCCTCGCTACGCTCCGAGTCTAAAATGTTATTATTATCTTCGCCTGTTAAAACAATCGTTCGTAAAAAAAACAAATATTTGTTAAATGTAAAACTTATATCGAAGCATACACGGTAAACAAATGTAGAACACGACTGTACTTAACAAATAATGTTGAATAAAAAAGCAGAATAAATATTATTACCTAGATCGGACAAAATGATTCAATCATTTTAGTGTATAATTTTAAGGGGGGGAAAGAGCTGATACTGGTACAGATACACGTACAGACTGTTGTGGATGGAAAATTGGGAAGATAAAATACACAAAGTTACTTAATTTACACAATATGTAATACACATAGTAACGACGAACCATTGTTAATGGTTATGGTTAATGGTTAGAAATATTTTAAAATACCGTAATTTTTACGATTTTAGTCAAAATTTGATCTTGAAATACTTATAAAAAATAAAAAACTAATGCGTTGCATCGTAGATTATAATTATAAATCAAATAACTTTATGTATTCCCCCTTCCCAACTACCCATCTACTACAGTGGTCGTACCCGTTCCCAGTATCAGTTATTTTTTATATCACAGTTAATTAATTTTAAAATTATTTGTACAAACTGGTTTTGAATCGATCTACGTTCCGGTATTTACTATTTTATAAATTTAGCGTCTGACAACATTTTTTGTGAAATATTTGGTAGTGTATAGATAATCATTTATTAAACAATCAATTTTTCAACTGCACAACTATTTTAATGAAAATGTTGAATATTATCGGTTTATAAACTAATTGGAAAACGTTTCAATATAACTATCAAATAATAGCAGTATACTGATTTGCATGTTACTATTCTATACGAGAAGTTGTCTCAAAATACATTTTTTACTTACCAACTACATGATGAATTCAAAAAAAAAGGTATCTTGTTTTTCTATTGGATCAATATATCTGGTAGAAAACATAAGGAAGATTTTTGTTTTGTATTTTTTAACTTTTTTTTAGTTCATCCGTATAACCATGATAACCTATGAAAAATGACAACAATATGTTCAATTATTTTTTAACTACGAAGTACATTTTTTTGTAGAATTATTTCACTCCCTTCGAGGTTTATTTTTCTCAAACCCGTGTATTTTTTCAGGATACAATCTATTTCCATGACAAATTTTAATTTTTTCTGCGGTTTAGGCGTAACAGCCAAACAGACATAGGTATAGTTATTTTCGTATTTATAATATTAAGTATAGATTTTTATGTTTTATGGATTTTTAACCCAACCCAACCAGTAGATTTTCGTATTGAAAACATTATGATAATTCAAAAATATACATGTTTGTTATGTTTATTTTAGATTGTATATGTGTGGTTTGAATCCAAATGTACAGACCTTATACCCAACAGTAACATTTCCCGTGAGTCGAGCCTGCCTTTATGGGATCATGATAATAGATGGACAATGTTATCTACAAAACGTTTACAAGTAAGTTTAAGTTGCCTTTTGTTTTTACGAATTTATATAACTCGAACTATTGATTATTTCAGTGTTTTGGATTTAATGACACTTTTTCATTTATGCTCAATGATAAAATTCATTTAGCTGAGTATCAAATTCGCGATTGTACCGATCGCATTTGTATTAGTGAGTATAAAATCCATTATTTATAGAACTCTACATTATAAATATTAGTTTGCATACATTTAAATTTAATCCAATGTATTATGTTAGATTCATGTTTGGCATTTGTTTACGCAAATGAATGTCAAAATATTTTCGGCAAACCGTGTTCATTTCCAAAAAGTAAAATTTATAAACAATTTCGAAATTTATCCAAATAGTAAATATTATTATTTTCCATAATTTCAATTAAATCCAAATCTAAAATTTAGTTGTTTTAATTTTTCAGATTTGATTGAATGTTATTTACTAATTCAACGAGGATCTGGTCTCTTTGAGTTCAATTTGAATAATAAGACCATTTGTTCGGGACAAATACATTTGTTGCAGGACGATTTAAATGTAATGCCAGAACATTTAATAAATCTACATACGACGGCTAAACAATTTCAAGAATTTGGGCTGAAAGAAAAAATATATTCTATTTTTGAAGATAATGGATGCAATTTAGGAGATAATTACAAAAACATAACCGAATTTAACGTCCATAAAAATAATATCGAAGGATGTATAAAATGGAAAAATGATTGGATTTACTTTTTGGATAGTTTATTAAAATTTCCGTTATTAGAGGATTTAACTAAAAATTGTACGAAAGCTCCAGTTTCTATTAGAGGTATAATCATTCGACCAGACATGTTTGAAAACAGCACCGAACAAGGTACATTTCTATGGATATTTGTCATTCGTTTTTAACGAAAACTCTTGTTCATACAATAAATAATATTGCTGTGCTAATTAGAAACGCTTATTTCTTCAGATGTATTTGACAATTACGATACGAGAACAAATGAAATAACTCGTAACGGAGTAAAAATATCTGGTGTTAGAAATGAACCCATCGTGTTAAGCAATTCTAAGGTTACAGTTGGCACATTAGAAGAACAGATATTTATTCAATACAATCATTCTATATGCAAGGTTAGGCTAGGTTTAAGTTTAAAGTTTGAATACTCCGAAATAAATGCCACAAACTCAAACACGTTTAAAACCTTATTTCAAATATAACATGGAAAACCACTGGTAGAAGTAAAATATTATATTATATTTAAAATGTATTAATTTAGAATATTGATGACTTCATTAACGATACTCTGAACATAATAATGGAGCTTGATAAATTTGATTTCTTCGAAAACACTGGGAAACTCTTTATATGTACACAGAATACTTTTAACGATCCTACTTGTAATGTATGCGCAAAAGCAATGAAGCAAATCATAGAAAATCAACCATCAAGCAATGTAAGTGTGTTTGTTTGTATTTATAAAATAACATTATTAAAAATTTGTTTCCATGTTTATTACAATCGTATCCATTCGAACATTTCGTATTAAACGAACACGTTTTCTATATTTTCATCAAACTTGTTGGAATAATATATTCTGTACATTTTATCATAATATTACTTGAGCAAAATTTCGGTAGAACTTATTACGATAAAAAATATTCTGATTATTATTGTCGTGTACTAAAAGCATATGAAAGTAAAAGTGATAACGTATGTGTGTAACTTGATAAATTTGATTTTACGTTTAACTATTTATTATAATTTTTAACGCCCAGACAGGCAATTTTAACAATATTGTTAAATGACAAGATGAGAATAAAAAAAAAAAACAATTAAAAATACACAATGGTAACAAACTTTACATACAATTAAACATAAGATTAAATTATTGATTGGTCGGCTAGCCGTAACATACTATGAATCGGGTGGTTATGGCAATATGAAGTTGAGTGAGTTGGTATTGCAAATAGCAAATCAAGAAAAGAAAGCCTGGACAATCTGTAGAACCATTAAGAAAGGAAGAAATAAAGTCTAACTCGGCTTCGAGGCGCCTGGTGGGTAGAGTAGGAAGTTTGAGCATGTCAAGTATAAGTGATTGGTCGTGTGGATGATACTGAAGCTTAAAAAAGAATGAAGCATATGACAAAAATTTGTTCTGGACACGTTCCAACCTATGAAACGATGAAAAAGTTCAATTAATGTAAATATATTTATTTTAAATTAAAATGCCCGAAAGCTTTTATTATAACGATCGAAGATCTTTAACAATACATTTCAAAGGTGTACATAAATATTTGAAGTGTGTTTACATAAAAAAAAAATAAAAAACCAGTGAGAAGTGGAGTGGTCTTAGCCTTAGTCTAAGAATCTTATACTAAGTCATATTGGTTTGAGACCCCTTATGTATTGAGAGTTGTTGAGTAGTTTAATTGTTACTGGATTGGTATGTTCATCCAGCTTTTATCTTATGTTTGCGGACAAACTTAATATTATCGTCCTGGACGAAGGTAATCATCATATCTCGATGAATAATGTCATTGCTGTTATATCTGTAACCTGCGACAATGAAACGAAGAGCGATGTTCTGACAGTGTTAAATAATCTCAAAGTTGGACTTGCTGTATTCCACAAATCCATATTGGTTTAATTATCATTGTACAATAATCGTTTTTTTGTAAGGTCTAGTTTAACATGTCTTTCGATCAGCCAATACCGGGTATAAATTATAGAGTTAAAATTTTTGATTTCCGTCGATCCATTGACGAGATATTCCGCTTTTAAGTTTGTGTTGGAAGAGAGTAGTGAAGTATCAATAGAGTAGCGGTACGGTGTGCGACGTGTTAATAATACACCACTACTATCCTCCAACCAAAACTTAAAAGTGAAACATCCCGTAAACGGATCAACGGAAATCAAAAATTTCACCACTAAAATTGATTTTAACTAATACTCTATTTATGGACTATTTAATATAGGTTGCCATTTGAAAATCAAAAGTGAGTAGTGGTTTCGCCCCCAAAAATAATGATGACAAAAAATAACATGAATATAAAATTGTAGAGAAGCTTGTTTCTTAAATGTTCTAGAAAACAAATTCCAGAAAAAGTTAATACTTTCCGAGATAATGAGTTTTTGATTAGACCAAAATATTTTGTGTTTCTGCGTTAGTCGGCAGATTTGACATGCCCTTTACTGTGCACCTCACGTGACGGTGGGAACCACCGTTACGCCGTTGTACTAGAATTTGGCCTACTTAATATTATATTATGTAAACACTTACCGATGTCAATTGTGCGTGGAAAGCATTTTGATAATATTGAATTACAGAGAAAAAAAACATTATAAATGTACAGTACTCGAAAACGAGAACATACGTGTTGCTCGTTCAGAAAACAAATCGTGACCATAATATAATAATATAAACAATTTAAAAGTTTTGATTTAAATCGTGATATTAACTTGTATGGTGATTTATTATTCACATAAGGTCAATTTTGAATTTTAAGTCTAAAAAAGACGGAAACACGGAGACGCACGATGGATTGGTAGGCCACTTTTGTAGATGAGAAGTTGGGAAGGTAGAGGAAAAATGTAATTTATATCTTTAGGTAACGATTAACCCTGTATATTTATATATATATATTTTTATATGTGTCATAATATGGTAAAATAAATATGGTATAACAGTCATACAGCACAAAATATCTACATAATTTTTTACTAAAACGATTTTCGTCAAACTCTGATATTAAAATTGTAATAAAAAAAATTCTGCGTTACACTCAATCATATTTTTTTTTTTTTACCACAAAGTACGACTTATAACAAACCTCCTGTTAAATTTTCTAACATTTCTGTTAGGTTTAACAATTTTATCTACAGAGCACCTACCAAATAAATGAAAACAGATGAGAAAACAAAAAAAAAAAAATTATCTCCCTGAAGTTTCACCCCAGTAAGATTTCCTATTAGAAAAAATTCTATACTTGAAAATAGAAGCAAAATTGCTGGTAGAAATGTTGTTGACAGATAAAAAAACATAAATAAAAATAAACATCATTTTAAACCAATACATTCCTTGCTCCACTCAAAATCTAAAAATAAAAAACAAAAATTATTAAATCGTTTTTTCTGTTTTGTGGGGGGATCGGTAATTAATTTACTTTTTAATTGAATTTAATTCGATTTTATTGGTGTAAAACTTTAGAGTATCACAATAAATTTGGATAACGTAAGTAACGTATCAGAGGACGATGAGTCGGGACAGTTTATTTTGGTCACTAGTTGGAACTACCTAAAATATACAACGGAATATTTAGCCGATAAAAAATGTTGTTACATTATCGTGTGTTCGAAACAAAAATGTCAAAACTTTAATGACTGGAAAATAATCATTCAACAACAATTCAATGGCGACATCTATTTAACGTTGATGAAAAAAGTAAGATGTCTTTTTCTGTATTCTAATAAAAAATATGTAAATTCATCGTTTTCGCAGAAAATAACGATAGATAAAAATTACAAATTTATAAAGTCGACCAATGAAGATTACGACTTGAACATTTGGAATGCTTTAGAAAAACATAAGTCTACTAACGAATTGATTTGCATAGTTTCGAAATCAGAACCGTTAGATGATATCGTTACCCACGTTAAAAATATTTTAGTAAAATACAAATCTCCAAAATTGAGGTAGTTTATAATAAGATAAATTGGCAAATGTGTCTATACTGAACAATTTTATTGATAACTTGATATATAGATTCGTATTTATTTTCGATTCAAATGCACCGGAAATCGAATCAAACAAATTATTTTACACAAATGAATTACGTAAAGATTTAATAGTCAATATATATAAAAACGGTGGATGGGGTTGTTATAAAAACATTTTCTTCCAAGATTTGAAAACCAATACCATGGCGACCAAAGTTCCAGTTATAGAAAACATTTTAAACAATAGGTAGGTGCATCCCCATTCACGTTATATTATTCTTAAAATTGGTACCTATCATTCGTGTGAATTTATTTCAGTACCAACGAATTGACAATCAAATATTTAGGATTGAATTTCAAAGATTTATTAATTGAAGCTCATACCGAAGTAATTTACACGTTTTTAATAAAAATATAATAACTCATTTATAAGTTAATCGATTAAATATTTTAAACATAGGACGAACTTGAACTGTTTAAATACTCGGGAATAGCAGAAGGCAATGAAAGAGTGATGGGAATATTTTTTTTTAATCAAAGCTCATATCAAATAAATTACGATGAAGCATTCGCATGGCCTGTCCCGACTACGTGGCAATTAGACGACGCCGTCACTGTTCCTTTAGCTTACGCAATGGTAATTGTAGTCTTAGAAAAAAATCAAATAAATAGAATAAGGCTTAATTTAATGTTAAACATTTCATAATTATTACGTGTTTAAAGTATTATGTTCTCTCAAAAAAGACCAGACAATTTTGGTTACCTCTGGATTGCACCCTGTTGGTCGAGCAGCAATTTCAATAGGTTTGGCTGAAAAATGCGATGTGTATGTAATTTTTAAGTCTAGCCAACAATCAAAACAACTCTCTAATATATTTCCCCAGGTAAGTAGTGAAAACAGAAGATAATATTTAGTGTATACTATAAATCTAATTCAAATTTAAAGCTTCCACGTTCAAGAATACTAATAAACACAGAGAACAAATTCGATGTACAATTAAAGTTGATAACTAAGGCCAAAGGTATTGATATCATATTGAACTTTTTGAGTGGTGAAGCATATCAGTGTGCTCTGCGTACATTGGCAAAACACGGAAAGTTTTTCCACTTCTCAAAATCTGATATAAAAAATCAAGAAAATTTAGGTACCTAAATACAAATTAACATTTTAATGGTGAATTTCATTTTAAAACCTAAACAATATATCGTGTTCACAAAGAAACGAGAATTTTCCTACAAAACACAGCATTTTATTTCGTCAGCTCAAACCTGTTAATCAATGAAAGTGACGAAAATAAAGAAATCGTAAAACAAGCATTCTCGGACGGATTGAAGAAAGGTATAACAAAGCCTTTCGAAAAAAACGTTTTAGAAACTCCAATAAGTAATAGTAAAATTTTCGAAGCTATGAGGTGAATTTTATCGAAACTTTTAACAAAAAGCTCTATCTCATTAATAGTATTTTCACGATTTTATTTATAACAACCTATTCATCAAATATAATTGAAAAAGTGATAGTTTCTTTGAATAATGATTGTGGAATAAAAGTATCCCAGAAAAAAATACAATGTGACACATATCAGTGTCACCCCGATCATGTCTATGTGATATTTGGTAAACATTTTTTTCGAAATAACTGATGCTTAAATATTATACAAACTGTTATTTATTTTAGATAATATATCGGATAGTTTAATCTTAGTCAAATGGTTAGCCGAGCGAGGTGCTAAAAAAATCGTAATTGTATTGAAAAGATTATTAATTTCATCAATTGATTGTAAAATGTTTGTAAACTAAATAGCCAATGTGCATCGATTATTTTAGTAATGATTTATTTAAATAGATTAAATGCAATTATATCACTTAAAGTGTCGATTCAGATTGAATCGGATATTCAATTGAATAGTAGAGATGAATCTTTGAAATGGTTAAGTCGTTTAACGTCGTCGCGTGCCTTGGGCTCGATATTCATAATCAACCAGGTATATTGTTAAATAAATTTAATTAACTATTAAATTACTATAGGTACATATGTGGCTACAACACGATTGAGCATCAAACATATTTTTTTAAAACACGATTGAGCAAATTTGTGTGCGTATCAAAGTATGTAAGAATACAAAAGAAAATCTACTCGATTGAGCATAAAACAACACTACGATGTTGCCGCTTTCAGTTTTGAACTATATTAATATACAAAACAAATGTATTTAAATAATTATAATAATACAAAATATAATTGTACATAATAATTGGCGTAATATTACGTAAAAATACAAAATTTCGGCAACGTTACGTAAAATATTCTATGCTCGATCATGTTGCTGAAAAGGTATATTACAGTCAATCGTGCTGTACCGATATAATATTTTATTCGTGGAAATTAATATCCTTATCTTAGTGTGATGACAGTAAAATTAATAACCTGCAATATGCTGTAAATAAACTTTCGAATAAGTCGACAACTACGTCGTTCGTATGTATTTCAAGTAAAGGAGAACATGCTTGTGCTTCGCTTAAATCAATTGGCCTTAACGCTCTAAACATGCGCTGGGACAAGATATCAAAATCAAATAAAAATGTATCAAACATATTATTACCTGCGTTAGATAAGCTGCTACAATATCCCAATGCCGACGAGACATTCTCGTTTGTGTTATCTGAAAAAATCATTAACAAATTTGAAGGTAATTGTATTGTTTTAATTACAATTGGAAATATATTTTTAAAAAATCACATATGGTAGTAATAATACCTAGATTATACAAAAATTACTTTATTATATATTGTCTTATGAAAAATAATATACCGTGTCACTCGCGCGTATATTATTGTAACAACTATGTATGTAATTGATAAAAAATGTTACAGAGTATCAACAAACAAACTACGTTATTGAAAATTTTTTACCCGAATCCTTAGAAGAGTTGCTACATCTGAATGATGAAATAACGAAAGAAGCAAAATTCGTTGAAATTCCATCGAAAAGTCCGAGTTTTTGCACGTGAAATCAATTATACCGGTGTTTGTGATACCCGGTTTCAGGCCAAATCTCGTTAAAACATTATGTTCAAAATTGTTGTTTCCTGTTTTCGAAGCACAATATCCAGAAAATATTGGTTCGGTTGATGAATTATCAAACTCTTTAGTATACGTATGTTTAAATCATAATTGATTTAGTTAACAAATTTTTACTAAAATATTATGATATCCCTACACGCACTTAGCAACTCAAAAATATTACGAACCAAGGTTATGTGTCTCTTATCGGCGAATCTTAGGGAGGAATTGTGGCGTTAAAAATGGCTCAAATATTAGAAAATCAAGGCACATTAGTCACAGTAACATTATTAGAAGGTAATCCGGAAGAATTAATAGACTGGGCTAAAACTTTCCTATCGAATGATAATTATCTCAACAAATCATATACAAAATATAGTTCATCGTTCAGTAAGGTAAATACTAATTTAAATAAATTTTAAATTATTTTGGATTTTTTTCGTTTAATATCAATAATAATTAAGCATTCATTATATTTTAAATAGTTTTCCTATATAGGTTTTAAAATGTACGGATGAAAAGTACGACTCCAGAAAATTACAATTATTGAAAGAGAATACACGAGACACTTTAAATTGGATCCATTCATATTTACAGGTATTATTAGAATCCAAGCCACTTTCAAGTAAATTACTTACAAAAGTTCTAATACTGAGATACGAACGAAAATCTAAATACAAAATGATCAGATTAACTGACGTAAGTTTAACAATTACTGCTAAGTGATAATTATTAATAATTATATTAATTCTTCTGTATATTTGACAGTATTGTAACAGTTTACCGTCAGTAAAAATCATACCAAAAAAGGATTACAAACAAATTTTAACGGATGTCGAGACGGTAGATATATTACATAAGAACATGGCATATTTGTTCACAAAAGGAATAGAATTATTATGTTAATCGATTTTAAAAGATGTACAATAGGCAATACAATAATAATAACTTAGTATAATTTGCTGGTTGGATTTTTTTTTTTTTTTTTTTTTTAATAAAAACTAAATATACTCACATATTCATTCTCACAAAATGAATAGAAAATATTAATTATTTTTATAATATTTTTGTTTGATTGAAATTCCAAAAGTAGATATTGGTGAAAATCTTTAAACCATCATATTGTACAAATATTTTTTAAAGATGATAACTGAAATATTTAGTTATCTACCATCTAAAACTATTTTAGAAACATTATACCTTTAATACGTTAAAAATATTTAGCTGTAATATTCTGATGTTATTCATAAATTATTCTACTTATAACAGTTCTCTAAAAACCATAACTTACTAAAATCTAATGTCATTAATATTTTAAAAAATATTCTATTTCAATATTCTTAAAGTATTTATTATCGGTAATATTAATAAAGTATTTCAAATCTGATTTTATTTGTAATTTTAAAACATTCTGTTTATTATAATTTTAAACTATACCTACAGGCAGTGTATTTGTTAGAAATATTTGATTTAAAGAAATGCGTAGTTAGCTAACAAATAATCTGTAAGTAATTTATCAGAGCATTCGAATTTTGAAATTGTTGAAGTATAATGTAACTTTATGTCTACACCTGTCGAATGTATAAAATAAATAATATAAACATTATATTCTATAATTTACATAGAAGATATGATAATAACCATTTGTTATGAATTCTATTATTTTGTAATTTATATTGACTATTGATGAAAACGTCAGTGTCTCTCACACTGCGGTTTAAATTACATTATAAACGCAGGATTAAAACCGAAAACATTAGTTTTACCTTTGGTAAAATATCCCTGTGATGTTATCTACGTATTGGTAATTTCTAAATACTTGCTCCGTAAAATAAAAAAGTCAAAATAAAATATTAAACCGTTGACATAAGCGACTTTAAATGACTTTTTACATAAATAAGTTTACGAGTAAGTACCCACATTTACAAACTCAGTTTTATTTGAAGTTCCTCTTTTTTAAATTTAACAAATTATAGGGTTTATTTCGGATGTTACGGAGAGAAACGAAATTACATTGTACAGTTTCGAGTTTCCCTGAATAAACTTTATGTAGGTACAAATTTGGAATATTATAATCGAATTAAGTTCAAATTGTTCGTGTTCGTGAAATGTACCTACCTACCTCGTATACACACATAACACATACACAACCATAAGAATTAAGTATACCACGTAGGTTCAAAGTTCAATCATCATTTGAGATAAAGAGTTGAAATAACTTTACACCGAAAAACAGACATGTACAGTGAAAATAGTGTTTTTAAGTACCTAACTACAAGTATTTTACGTTGTTTTGTGTATCATGGTAAATATTAAGATTTAAGGTTTTTAATAAGTTTTCAAGCCTATAAGTAAAAATGATAAAAGTTTTCCGCTTTTATAAAACCGTTTTTTTTTTTCATATTACTCTTATTACATGTATTTTTAATAGTTTGAAATTTCAGTGCACTCAGATTATTTACTATGTATTGTAAAAAAGCTGTTCTTGAAAATACCCTTTTGTAATTCTATACGACCGTTAATGTATTTTTCTAACTTATCAAAAATATCAGAGTCTGCAGCGTAGTATTAATACAATCGACTTGGCTAGTCAACAACAGCTGCGGATAGGTATAGGAAGCTAATGCACAAACCTTAGTTCCTTATATTCTGAACAAAGTTTACAAAAGTATGAAAATAAACAGGACATGGCATTTGAATAACTTACAATAATAACTATCCGTTGCGTTTAATAAAATTGATTGGCCTAGAAAGTAATACAATACGCGTTATTACTGTTGAACAAAGAGGTACCTAGTCAGAATATTAGTTGTCTAGATACATAATACTCGTATCGTATTGATAAGCGTTATAAAAAGAAAAAAAAAACACACAGAAGTAATATGATCAAAAGTGTAAATAATATTGCATATTGCAATACTTACTCTGCGGAGAACGCGTACGGCCGACGAATTTAGATAAAATGTGGCGTCAGTCAGTATACTATTATAATAAATAATAACGTACAGTTGTATTGTTGGTCATCAAAGCAAATGACACACATTAAATTATATTTATGCAGGTATTATACATTTGACATAACATAATGTCAATTGTGTATTGTTAATTGTTGTCTGATTTTCACCGACAATAAATAATATTATCAGGGACGTCGTTTTGGGAGAGGGGAGTGTGAGGCGTCTTTTGGGGACCTTAATTTTTCATAAAATTGACCCGACGTAAAATCAACATAAGTTACAAATGTAAAAGAATAATGTGTAGACATAAATAGTTATGATCGCTTCTCGTTTACATGATATTATGGGTAACATAGGTAACGTATTATTTATAATTATGTAAACTGATTAAAAACGTCGATTATACTAATACATATAAGCAGTTGAAACAGCCTGGTAAAAAAATGAACGTTCCTGTTTTAAATATCCGCACCTCTATTTTAAATTTGAAACTGAAACCCTGAATATTTCCCTGCTTTGTGTTTGCTATGTATACACATATATTTATTTATCTTTTACCCGCTATGATTAGACACTTTTAGCGGCTTCCTCTGGTTTAAACGAGCTTAAACTTGAAGATTTTAGTTCTTTTATGGGCGGATTTATATGGCACGAGTTGGATTGAACTTTAATACGAATTTCACCACGGTATTGCGGGAGGAGGATAAAATTTCCATCTTTGAGCATCCTTATAGACCCGCAAAATGAAATTGTGTAAACGCATCATCGGGTTAACACCAAGGATATGCGCCTTTTGGGTGTTTCGACTTTCAAACACCGACACTTTCATTTTTGCACTGGAATTTCGTTAGATTTTATAGAGTAGTATACAATTATGTAGTATTATTGTATTATTATCTTAGCGTATTCGGCTATTTACGGTTTAACAACGAACATTTCTATAATCCAAAAAAGGTCAGAGAAAGTTCAAGTCTAATGACGGAGCTCTGCAGTTACTCACTGTCCACGTGTGTTATTTTAACTCGTGGAAAAAACATTCGAATGAAATATTTGACAGTTCGTCCAAACTATAAAAAAACTATAAACCAGTATGAATTGTTCGAATGGGTCCATCACAAAATAAAATCTAAATATTCCCCTACATAATACGCTATATTATAGCAACACATTTCCGTCGGATTCACTGTGTTGATTCCAGGTAGGTATACTCTAGGAAAATGCCCCTCACCAGAATTTCATTCACCCTCTGACAAATACAACAGTCAACAAAATAAATTTATTAGATTAACAATGATGTCTATAATAGCACTATTATTAAAAATGCTACCAAAATATCAAACAGATTTAAATATTCATTAAAAAAAAATACATTGGATTGTATTTTATCATTTTAGAACAAATAATATAAAATATATTTAGATTTAATGATAATGCAATTAAATTTATAGTAGAAATATTTGAAAATTATAGTACGTTATCGAAAACTGATTGAAAACTATTGTGTGACTGTTTATTTGTATTAGCGAAGGGCGGACTTAATTTGTAAAGCATGATACCGTGTTTGTAATTTTTTTAGTTTTTAAATTTTGAGTGAAATATAGAATATATTTGGTTTTACAACTATGTTTATTTTCTTTTTTTTTTTTTAACAACTTTTCTACTAGCAATTATGCTCCGATTTTCAATTACAGCACTTTTTCTGAAATGTAATCTAACTTAAGTGGTACTTAACCCACTTATCTTGCGAAATATATCCGTCTTTTTATTTTTTATTTTTTTTTTTTCATAGTATGTGGTATGGAAATTTGCGTTCACATTCCTCATAAATAGGAACTCTTATTTTTTCTTCGTTTCTGTATATGAAAAGAAACGCCTTTCTTCCCAAAAATATAAAATAATCCAGTTACACCACAGTAAAATTAATTACAATTTTTAATTCAACAATCCATATTCCACGATTAGGTGTTATTTTTAACAATTATCGGCGTATTTCAAAAACACTAATACCTATACTTTCGTTACTTAGGCAACTAAACAGACTTTTTGTATTGTTGAGAAACCGAAATATTTTACGGGTACTTATGTTTACGCATATTAATAAATAAATTAAGGTAATTAAAATAAACGAATTTAAAAATAATTCCGCAAAGTAAAATCGTTGATTATTTATTATAGTCACCATAAATATATTGGCGAAAAGCTAATGAAAATCTATCAGAAAATAAAAACCTGGAAAAAAAAACGCAAATTAAAGGGACGTAAAACAAAATACCTATAATACTGTTCAGTCCATATCGCCGAAGCATGGAGTTATCATAATTTGCATCAACAATGCATTCTATTGTTGTTTGGCCCGATAGAAATTTCACCCAATTAATATTCTGTTTCGTGAATTGCGTCGGAAAGAGAAAAAAAAAATACGTTTTTTCTTTTTTCTTTTACGGTTTCGGAGTGAAAAATATATATATATATATATATATTTACAGATATCTATATGTATGTAGAAAACAAAAATTGCAGTTAGTTTTTTACTGAACTACTAGGTATTCTACCTATACGTATTTCCTATAAATAATATTTTAATTGACGAAATTATTTTATCTAACATTATTCGACCGAGCCTTGGACGAAGTCTAAGCCGATAACAGAGCGATCGAAGAAACACTGCATAATGTTATATATCATATTAAAACTCGTACCTCGGAAAAATAAAACGCGCACCTATCTACTGTGTTTGTAATATTGTGATTTTTTAATTTGTTATTAGGAATATTAAATTAAATTAAATATTCAATTCACGGAAATATTATCAGTGTTGGTTTTCTTTACATAATAATTAGAATAAGATGTTCATGCAAATAATGTACTTCCATATGTAACAAAGCGTCTGCCTATGCCGACGTTATAGGCAACCAATACCTAATAAATCAACCACCATAATAAAATCAA